CCGCCGGAGCCGCGCCCCCCCCCCCCGAGCGCCGCACCGCCGGAGCCCGCACCCCCCCCGCACCCCAAGATTGGCTGCCCCTTACCAGGTGCCGCCCCAAGCATGTGCTTGGTTGCCTGGTGCCGGCCCTGACAGTAATATACTCATGTATTTGCATGCCTAAACTTTACCTTCACTGGTTGGAAATACTGGGTTCTACAGGGCTCTTTAATCTAGTGGGAAAAGGAACATAAGAACCAATATCTGGAAGTTAAAGCCAGACAAATTCAAATCAGAAATCAGGCACAAATGTTAACAGTGAGGGTGTTTAACCAGTGGAACAAACTACCAAGGTGTAGTAGTTTTGGGCCGCGGTTCGGCCCTCAGCGGGGCTGTGGGGTATCCCACCGCCTCGCTACAGTCAGAAAAGAACCCCGAGCCCTCAATCAGGGTGGAGCAGTAATCACACAGTCAGGCAAATACCCAGGCCTTTAAGCAGGGGCTGGGTCAGGGTTTGTAGCAGCCCAGGCCCTAGGTCAGGGTGGGGCAGCAAACAAATAGTCAAACAGCGGCCCAGGCCTTGTAGCAGGGGCTGGGTCAGTAGCAAATAGTAAATCAGGTACCCAGCCTCTCTAGGCCAGGGGAAACGGGGGGAGTCTGCCACCCAAGGAGTGGGTGGCAGGGGGGATGCAGGCCCTCCCACTCCACTGCGTCCCAGCCCGGGGCCCTAGCAACGATGGATGTTCACTGCTGTCAGTGAGGATCCTGGCTGCAACAAACTGACATTGGCTCTGGCAGTGCAGCAGCCAGACTGGGGTCGGCTGCCCCCGGGCTACTTCCACACTCCCCCTCATATGGTACCTGGGCCGTGTTAGAGTCGTCGGTGGTCTCCACCAGCATTGGCTTCTCTGGTAGGTAGCGAAGGGCAGGCTCAGCCAGTCCTCCTCGGGGTAGCTGGCACGGGGCAGGCTCGGCGAGTCAGCAGGCCGGTCGCGGCCTGCGGCTGTCCCAAGCGGGAGCTCGGCCACGGACATCTGCTCTCTCCGCCGGCCTGGCCTCCACTGAGCTCTCCAGGCGGGCTTTTATACTTCCGGGTCGGGGCCGTGACCTCAGAGGGGCGCCGGACCCGGTGGCTCCGCCCACATTGGTATTAGGGGAGGTTCGGCCCTCAGTGGGGCTGTGGGGTAGCCCACCGCCTTGCTACACAAGGGAAGTGGATGCTTCTCTCTCTCTTCTTGATGGTTTCATATCAAGACTGGTTGTCTTTCTGGAAGATTTGCTTTAGTCCAACACTAAAGGTTCATCATTTGCACCTGACAAGAGAGCTCTAAAAATGTCACTAGATTTTAATATAAAAATGTAATTGAATAATAACAATGTTTTGCATATTTTGGAATACTAGTCAGAACTACTCTATACATTAGAAGCCTAACATCCCAAATATGCAATACATGAAGTTTTTATTCAATTACAATTTTGCCTAGCTCCACTGCAGTCAATAGATATAAATAAACTGGTATGTAATAACTGACTTGTAGCTCGTAAAATTTGTACTGACTCAGGTTAGAATTATGAATTGTGGCCAGATAATGATCTTCTTTATACATTTCATGGCTTTGTTGAAATTCACATTGTCCCATTGTTCCCCTTCAGCCAAGTTGCTTTGGTTATCCACTCAGCATCTTCTTCATTGTCATCAATGAGTTCTGTGAAAGATTCTCCTACTATGGAATGCGAGGTAACTTCCTTTTCAATCTTCACCTGCTTTTGGTTTCAGTTACTGATTATCACCTCCCTAACAGATTGTTTTGTTCCCCCTTGTAGCTGTGCTTGTTCTGTACTTCAAATTTTTTCTCCACTGGGATGATAACCTATCTACAGCCATCTACCACACATTTGTTGCTCTGTGTTATTTGACTCCAATCCTTGGAGCAATCATTGCTGACTCCTGGCTGGGAAAGTTCAAGTGAGTGCTTATTTAAAAAGCAAAACAATCAAATGAAGGCATGACTGAAAAAAGCAATAAAATTCCAACTGTTACTTTAGGGAAAGACTGTTCCAAACCACCCTCGGGATTCAAGAATACTCTGTCAGAAGCTGGTGTTCTGAATTCAGATTTGTAGAGAGGCTTCAAGTTTTAGTAGAGTTCACTCAGAACTGGAAGTGAGGAAAAGCTTGAGTCTCTGACAGAAATATTCATTGGGACAGTGAGAGTGAGAGAATGACTCGGGTAGGGCACTCACCAGGGAGGTGAGAGATCCAAGTTCTAATCCTCTTGCTGAATATTTAATTATTTATACACAGCAGAACCGCTTCAGCAGGAGAGATCTGCCCCAGACTACTACATAGCCCAGTGATTAGGGCACTCACCTTAGAAGTGGGAAACCCACATTCAAATTCTCTCTCTGCCTCAAGCAGAGGGTAGATTTGAATCTGGGTCTCCCAGGTCCTGGGTGAGTGTGCTAATCACTAAACTAAACGTTATAAGGGGGGAGGGGCATCTCTGTTGTCATTGACTTTTGTGGGGGTTTAGGCATGCTCAAAGCATACCTATCTGATCAGGCCCTGAAGGCAAGATAGTCCAGGAATACATAGGTTCTGGTCCCACTGAAGCTTAGGAATTAGTTAGGCACCAATCTACTGGTTGATGTCAAGATTTAGTCAGCTGTGTGCATGCCCAGCCACCGAAATTTAGGCTCTTTGAAGACTTTAATGCGGGAAACATAGGCATCTATAACAGGGGTGGGCAAACTTTTGGCCTGAGGTCCATATCTGGGTATGGAAATTGTATGGCGGGCCATGAATGCTCAGAAAACTGGGGGTTGAGGTGCGGGAGGAGGTGAGGGCTCTGGCTGGGGGTGCAGGCTCTTGGGTAGGGCCAAAACTCAGGAGTTCAGGGTACGGGAGGGGGCTCCGGGATGGGGTTGGGTTTGGGGTACAGGAGGGGGGTCTGGCTGGGGGTGCGGGCTCTGGGGTGGGGATGAGGGGTTGGGTGTGCAGGAGGGTGCTCCGGGCTGGGACCAAGGGGTTCGGAGGGTGATCGGGGCTGGGTCAGGGGGTCGGGGCACAGAAGGGGGTCAGGGGCACAGGCTACAGGTGGCACTTCCCTCAAGCAGCTCCCAGAAGCAGCGACCCAGGCCCGCCCTCTACTCTGGGTCCCAACCCAGGGACCCTTGGGCAGCAGCCTTGCTGTCCTCCTTCTCTCACCTTGTCTGTACGCTTCCCTGGGCCGCTTCCCCTACGGCTCCTTGCACCCACTAGGCCCTTCCACTGAGGGCCTACAGCCTGGCAGACACCAGGCTAGAGTTTCCCTTTACTCCCCTGGGCCTGCCCAATACTGCACTGTCCGCAGTGCTAGCCTCCCAGTTTGGAGATAGACCTTCCCCTCTCAAAGGTCTGGGACAGACTGACTGTGCTCTCCCTGAGTAGCCTTTTATAGGGCTGAGCCTGGCCCTGATTGGCTGTCTCCAACCTGGGCCCTGATTGGCACCCAGCAAGCCCTTCTCTCATTGGCTGTGCATCTGCGCAGGCCCCCTGGCCTGCCGCAGCCCATAATCTCAGGGAGTGGGGCAGCTGCCCCACTACACACCCTCCCCCTTAAGAACCCTCTCAGGGGGGGAATTCCCTATCGCCCCTGTGCTCCTCGTAGCTGAGCCCTTAGGTAATCTCTCTCGTAGCGCAGGCCCTCCACTAACTGGAGCAACCTGCCTCCCTCCTCTATGGTCTGGGTCCCCACTGTAGACCTCCCTGGTCCTACGTGGGTTCCCACTTCCATTTGGGTTCCCACATCGGCCCTCCCAGCCCCTATGTGGGTTCCCTGGTTAAGGTGGGGTCTCTCTACTCCAGCCCCCTTCTCTTTGGGGACCTCGGCCTGGACTACCACCCCCTGTTGGCTAGCCCCAGACCGAGCCTCTTTCTCAGGCACTCCCCCTTTCTCCCTCAGGGGGCAATGCCTTTTATGTGGCCCTTGGTGTGGCAGTGGAAGCACCCTTGGCGCCTTCCCCCTGCCACAGCCTTAGTCCTGCTTGTCTGGGCCCTAGCCCCTCCTTCTGGGCTGGCCCGGGCCTTGGGAGCCCTGTAGGGGCACTCCCTCTTCAGGTGTCCCTGCTCCCCACAGACCCAACAAGCTGGAGGCCCCCCTGTTACTCTCACAGGGGGCGCCTTGTCTGAGTGAGGCTTCTCTGCCCTCTCCCAGTACGGACACTCCCTCCTGAAGTAGCCCTTTTGCCCACAGGAAAACATTGCTTGAGCCCAGGCCCTGGCCTCTCGCCCTTGGCGCCTGGTCCCCTATACAGTCTGGGTGCCCACCCCCGCAGCAGCCAGAGCACCTCTCTCTGCTGCTCGGCAAGCCGAGCCACCCAAGCCCTCCAGTAAAAGTCTTTGTTCTCCACCATCGTGTCTCTTTCCCTTAGTCTCTCAATGTGGCACAATCTGCCTAGTCCTCACTCTTGCCTCTTGTGTCGGGGTGGACCGCCATGCCCGCATTCTCCACCACGTGTAATGGGGTTGGGACTCACCACCGCGGCACCTCCTACTGGTTGTCTTGGGAATTAGCTCAGTCCAGTGGAGCGCCCCCTCCTGGTGGTGTCCCGACTGTCATCTCGCTCTTGGTTGGCGTGTCTGAGCCCACGTCACTAACCAACTCATGGCGTCCTCTTCGGGACCACTGCCCTCCGGCAGTGCCCCTCAGTCCTTCCACACCCCCTTCCGGGGGTGTGTGTGTCAATCAGCAGTCTCCTTGTCCAGCCACCGTAGTCAAGCGCACACGCCAAAGTCTAATCCCTCCCATCAGGGATCTGGCATGGTCTGTACTGGCCGCTCCCTACGGCCAATAGCTAGATATACTGCAAGGGGATAGGGGGGGACCCAGGCCCGCCCTCTACTCTGGGTCTCAGGGAGTGGGGCAGCTGCCTCACTACACCATGTTTTATGATTCTGTGTTTTTATTACAATAATTGATTTATATCAGATTGCTAATGCTGTTTAAATCCCTGATTTTGCAAAAGCTTAACTATGAGATCACTGGGACTACTCTGTTGGAACCTAGAACCTGAGACTTGGCAAGTGGGAATAATATAAAACTTTTGATTTACTTCTAAAATATGCTTTTGAGTAATTTTTAAAGCAAAAAACCTACTACTGTAAAGTTCATGAGGAAGGTTAACAGACAGGATGGTGTGGAGGTTAGCCAAAGTACTAATAATTATAGCATTAATATCATGGAGGCTCAATCCTCAAGTAACCCATCTACTGTACACTATCAGTTTTTGGGAGTACCCTCAGAGACTTTCTCCATACTTTGTTGGACAGGGAGCTCTAGTCTGTGGAAGAGGATACATAGCATTTTTGCAATGTGCTGTACATACACGTAAATCATACAGAACCAATTGCATAAATCAGGGATGGCCAAACCGTGGCTTGTGAGCTGCGTGCAGCTCTTTTACAGTTAAAGTGCGGCTCGTGGAGCCCCCTAGGTACCCTCCTATTCTCCACCTACCAGATTCGGGCGGGGGGGAAAGAGCATGGGACCTCTACCTTGAAGTGGGGTAGGGGCTTCTGCCCAACAGGAAGGGGGGTCTCAGGGCTTCAGCCCCGTGGGGTATGCCTGCTGGGGCTCAAGCTTCAGCAGGAGTGGGGCTGATGCCCTGAGCCCCAGCAGGTGTGCCCTGGCTCTCGAACTTCTGAAGATTGTCGTGTGCAGCTCAGAAGGTCAGTAAGTTTGGCCACCCCTGACATAAATTGTCTCTCTGTTACTTACATGGCCCTTATCACTGTAGTATCTGAGACTCCCAAATAAAGAACAGCAACAAGATTTTCTCACTGTCAGCTCAGACAAAATCACACTCCTATCTGAAATGTTTTTCCTATTGCTGTTAAGACTAATGCCTAAAATCATTATAACTGACAGAGATTAGAGAAAAATGTATGTGTTTGTGGATTTGTACTAAGAACACATTCAGCAAAACATTTAATCACATGTTTAAGTCCCATTGAAGTTAAAATAAAGAACGTGTTTAAGGGCTTTGTGAAACAAGAATGGACACAAGTTTAAAGTTTATGATTTTTTTGATCACACTACAATATGCACACTCAGTTGCCCAATGCAATGGCAACAGAGATAGTCACATTTGGTGCTACCAGTCGGCACTACTATCCTGATGCTAGTCTTGAATTTTAGTCTTTCATAGATGAATACACTTTAGCCCATTAGCTGGTTCACTCAGATTATTTTCATTATTTCTGAAGATACTTTTGTGTAGATTTCATTATTTCCCCCCTGAAGTTTCAATGAAGAAAAATAGAGAACTATAAATGGTTATGTACCCAGAGCATAGGTTGCATATTGTTGTTATAATTCATATACAATTTAAATTTCACAATATATTAAATAGGACAAAAGGACTTTCACAATCTTACTTTTTCCCCTCACTTGGTTATTAAAGAGGCAATCACTGAAGCACTGACAGATGGTGCAATCACAATATGTAGATGTTAAATAAAATGCCTGAATACACGCCTTTTTTCTAATATCTTTTGTCTTGTTACCTTACTTTAATTTAATTAAGTAATATAATTAAATTATTTATTTTGCTTAAGCAGAGACTACTTTTAAAATAAAGTGTCAAAAGTATAACTGGTATGGGATAAATTGTTTATTATTCAGGAAATGTTTTGATATATTTACAGTATCTCGTGATAAGATTCTCATAGCTATTTCATGGTGGATTTATTCATCCTGTTTATTCTAACCAATTACTTTCTGCCTGAAACATTCTTGTGAACTAGAAAGAAATCTGAGTTAGCTGTGCAGTTAAAAAACATATTTTCTGTCTTCTTCCTTTACAACAGGACCATCATCTCCCTGTCCATTGTTTATACCATTGGACAGGCGATCATGGCAGTAAGTTCCATAAATGACTTGACAGACTATAACAGGGATGGAATTCCCGATAACATTCCATTGCACATGTAAGTTGCATTACACATTTCTGTCTTCCAGATTAATGCATGATGGAATAATTTAGTTCTTTGATGTACTGTACTTGTTGCTTAAATTGTCTAATGATCAGCCTCTTCTTATTTACTGCTACTTTTATAAGGAAGCTGTCATATCCATGTTATATGACCCCTATGACCCAGTGGCAAAGACCACTGAAACCTATATTGATCTGCTGCTTAAAAACCTGCCCTAGAGCAGCTTGAATTTACACAATCAATTTTCCCAAGATTGAATAGTTTTAGAGAAGAGAACCTGTGTAGTTCACTACTTAAACAGTTCTCCCTTTTATTTTTATGCATCTGAATAGTTTCACAGGATGTGTGCAAAATTCAAACCATACTGATTTCACTAAATTTAAGTGAGGCGGTCATTTACCTCAAGGCAGATCTATTTCATTCAAATTTTATTTTAAATCTGAGCTCTGTAAGAGAATGATTACAAAGGCAGACTAACTCTATATTGAGTATGAACTATACATTTTATGAGTTTTGCTAGTCAGACTACAGATTTTCATCACTGCACAAGGTCTGTGCAAAAGAGGTTCTCTGAAACTTTGTAGTTAATAAAATATCCTATTTTACTTTCATCTGATTTTGGAGCTGGAATTTTAACATCCAGAAATATATTATGCAACATATGACACCATTCATATTGCTTCATAAAACAACACCTTGATTTCCAAGGAAAGTATATCATTCTCCTGAATAAAATAGAGTATTTCTCCCAGATAAACGAGCCAAGAAAGAATATCTTAAGAATAAGCTAAAGTTCATTACTTTATCTTTGCTTTCTGGCACAGCAGAATATCATGTGCTAGAGACTGTCCTGCATTTCCAGCACAGAAAGCACAGGCCAGGATGAGCAGGGACAAAGATGGTTTTATGTCACCTTTCTACTGCCTGCATTCTGGGCTGCTGCAGGGCCTGAAATGGCCCTGGTATAAGGTAGCTCAGCCACAGGAGCTGCTTACGTCATGGCAGCTTTGCCCGAGATGCCTATAGGCTCTCTGAAGTTCAGAATCCCCATAGTGCTTAGTGCTACAATTGCACCTCCATCCCTAATGCACCACCTTGTGTCCCTGGCCCCAGCATGCCCTCCAAGCTGGTGCATCTAATCAGGGCAGTGTAGGGCTGCTTAACTCAGCCCTATGCTGGTCCTGCACCGGGATCATTCTTCTCCAGCCCATTGCATTTCCTTCAAGCCACCCCAGTGGTATATATAGACCAGAAACCGGTCAATGACATTTTTGAATGTTAGGACACAGTTAAGAATTCCTTTGTTTAATGCTGTTGCTATTAGCAAGCCTGGGCATTTCTCCTTGTATGCTGTTCCTTTACCTACACTAAAGTAAACTGAGTGACGTTTTCTCCCTTCCCCAGTGGTCTGTCTATGATTGGCCTGATCTTAATTGCTTTTGGTACTGGTGGAATCAAGCCCTGTGTATCAGCATTTGGTGGAGATCAGTTTGAAGAGGAACAGGTAACAATATTTTTCAAACATGGTTGGACTCATATTTCATTTTTTAATAATAATAGATATACATCTTCAGATGGTGTCCATTGCTCTGGTACTTGGGTGTCCAAAAGAAGAGCTAGATCCTACCTCAGTGTTCTCTACAAATACATACACTGTGTCATCAGTACTAAATATTGGGCGGACTCCAATCATACATTGTAATTTAGGCCAGCGGAGTCTGATCAACATAATACTGACTAACCATGTTCTAAATAGTTCTTTTAAAATTTATTTTCTTACTCTCACTGCAGGAAAAACAAAGAAATAGATTCTTCTCTCTATTTTATTTGTCTGTTAATGCCGGAAGTCTCCTCTCTACTATAATCACTCCAATTCTCAGAGGTAAACTTGCACTGTTGTTGTCTACAAACTGGTTAAACAGCATAGCAAAAAAGAATAAGGCAGTGGGGATGGATCACTTATTGGATTAGTACTGGATAAGGGTATTTTAGTTTTAGGCAACTACTTTGAGTCCACCCAGAAGTCATTACCATCTGATGGCTTATGAGACATGTTTATAGTTTCAGCTTATTTCTAATATAGAAATGTCAATATCACAAAACCTCACTGTCATAGTTGATGCTAATGGGCATCTTTCTTGGCAGTCTCAGAGATGCTAAAAATTGAATGACCATGGAGACTGCACTACTTTCACACCTGATAGGAAGGTGGAGAAGCCAGCACTGCTGCTGTGACTCTTGTAGCTCAAAGAAGGCTTTGTTCTACAGTGATATTTAACACAGCATTTTTTAAATCACCACTAAAATGATCAAAAAAAGGAGAGGCAAATAATATCATTAGATTTCTCTATTTTGTGGGGGGAAGAGGGAAAGAAGAAAGGGAGCTTTTTATTCAGAGGTTTAAGGGTATTACAAAAGATGCACATATACATAATATATAGACACATAGACACTTAAAATATACAACAAATTAAGTCAAAAATTTACTACTATCAAAATGGACATTTTTATGTGTTCTAATTATAAAGATCTCACTGATTTTTCTTTAATGGAAGCGACGTCCTGATAAATGTAAAACAAATTCTAAATCACCAGTATCTGGGTTCATTCCTTAATAAACTGTACATGATTAAATATACTTGTTTTTCTGTCCTTCCTTTCTATGTTTAACTCTGATTATATAGTGTAGTGACTATACACACACGTACACACATACATCTGTAAGTGGAGTATGTGTTGTGCTGTACGATGGATTATAGATTTTATTGGCATGACTTTGGAATGGCTGCTTTCTCAAGAATGGCAAAGCCACAAGAGAATTATACAAATGATCCCAAATAAGTGTAACTCAGACTTGGACCTTTCGATTTCTGGCATTCTATTCCAGTTCGTTGCTGTCATTTTATTATTAGTTAACACAATTTGCTATCCTTCCTAGGATAGATGGCAGATGAGCATATGAAAAAATGTGAGAGACCCTTCTTTGCTGGTATATCATTGAAAATGCCTTCTGTGGTTTGAACAGAAAGAGTCAACCAAAGGAAGAAAGATAGGACTTTATTTAATGGTTTGATTAGAAGGCTGACTAACCTGTCAGAGCAAGACAGATTAGTTGCTAGCAGGCTAGTATACTCCTAGGTAAATTATATAGCTTCAATGCTAGCTGACACTAGTATTCAAAACTCTTGTCTAACCCTGTTTTATTTCCTTCAGGCGAAGAATGTGGAATTCACACCAAGCAACAGTGTTACCCACTGGCCTTTGGAGTGCCTGCTGCACTCATGGCCGTTTCACTGAGTATGTTGCCTGTTTTCCAGTTTATTTACTGCATAAATTCTCTTTATTATATTGGTGACTTTTTATACGAGAAGGGGAAATAAGACTATTTGCTTAGAAATGTGGAGTTAAAGGGGGAGGCTGCCTTGTTTTTTATAATCCAGGATTCCTGATGTAGCATTGGCATAACTGCCAATTAACACCATACAGATAAATATATTTGCATGGTAGAGAGCTCCATATGTTGTAGTTGCTTGGGTGTGCTGCTGCAGTCTAGAAAGGGAAAATATAAATATACATTTATGTATCACTGATCAGGGGTTACATAGCATTATGGACAAGGTTCAAACTATGGCAGAAATATTAAAGTAGAAAATTGATGGACTACATCTCCTCAGGTTACTAGTTCTGACTCCTTCACAACATCCCAAAACCTGATCAGGGGGAAAGAGAGTTCTCATATTAGAGGTACAAATGAAGGGTTAGGCTTGATAACTTTGCTTTGGAAATAGCAGTCAAATCAAAATCTGATAATTAAGTAGAAATTGTCTAATAAAAATAGTTTTACTATTAAGGGTCAAATTGTGGCCTGGCCTGCATGGCAGTGCCAGGGCTTAAGGGAGTGCAAGATGTGTTCCCGTATGCCCCTGCACCAGCTACCCACATCATGGGTGATTGCACCAGAGGAGAAGCAAGATCCACAGAGCTATTACATCCCTCTTCATGCACATGGATGGGAGTGGGCAGAGCCTTGTTTCCACCCCCCACAATGTACATTGCTGTGCCAGCATGTCAGGGAGCCTGCTCTGTGCCTGCTATAGACCTGGTGCAGTTTATTCCCTTCGTGGAGCAGCGGGGGAACTCCCATGAGAGCTGCTCCAGAGGCAGCTCAAGAACATACTGCCCCTTATCTGTGTTCATGACCAAACCTCAAATAAACCCTAAATGTTCTGCATTACATAGTTTGCTTTAGCTTATGTGGTACTATTTGGAGCATTCAGGGGCAGTAAATAAATGTGAAAGTTTTAAATAAGGGAGGTTTTTCAAAGCTTTAATCAAATATCCAAGATTAAGATGAGCACAGAATAGTAATATATTAATACGGTAATTTCAGATGCATTGGTGAAATATTGCATTGTCCTTCTGTATGTAACCATTTACTTGCTTATGAAAAAACACTGCATTTTACCAGCTGCACTGCTCAATGAGCATTGCAGTACAAAGACCAAGGAATTATTTTGTTATAAGAACCCTTTCAGAGTTCATAGAGGATAAAATAGCTGCAATATCCAATACACTTGCTCTTCCAAAATTACATCTTTAATTATAGTTTGTATTAGGGAAATTCAGCAGGCCCAGACCTAAGGCCCCCATCTGTTTTGTTTTGTTTTTGTCCTTACTCAGGCAAACTGCCTACTCACTGAAGACAACAGATGTTTGCCTGAATGAGGACTGCATAAGAATCTGTTTAGGAATCTGATAAAGTATATTAGATTGATTAACAATTAATTGAAAAATATGTAAATAACTGTTTTATTGCTCTTTAAAATGCTGTTTCCCACTCAGGCTTGGTTTGTTTTAACCTCTTTGTCATTATGTTTTGTATACCAAAGTATTTTCCTCTAGTTTCAGTCAATCCTGAAATGTTTTTCTGTTTACTTATTGTAGTGGTGTTCATACTTGGAAGCAAAATGTACAAGAAAGCTCATCCTCAAGGCAATATAATGCTCCAGGTTTCCAAATGCATTGGAGTAAGTAATGCCAGACTACCTGGAAAAGCATGGCTGGACTTTTCAAATGGAGTTAGTCTTTATCACCCATCGATAATTTTTATGACCTTCATAAACTTTGTAGTTTGCAAACTGTTTCTTCCATTTCAGTCAGGAGTAAAATTCCATCATAATGTTGCAATTATTTCTGTCATAATTAATCTGATATTTTGGTGTAAAAGAAGCTTCTGAGTTTTTGAGACTCACTCTGATTTGTTTTTCTTAATTGAGCCTAATGAGTTGTATCACACACACACCCACCCACCCCTTAAATTATCCTGCGTTGACTTAATTTCAAATCAACCACTTTTTAACAATCCAGCTGCTAAGGTCTCTTAATTTCAATAAATGTTAGTTATTATTATGTAGTTAGTTGTATTATCATGGTTCCTTGAGGCCTCAAGCAAGATCAGGGTCCAACTGTGGTAGAGACTTCAGTGGAGCTTAATGCAGGTTCCTTCAATCCTGACCTGTAGTACCCCTGTTATTCCAGTCCTGTGCTCCCCACATACAGGTCTGCCAGTGTAACTCTAGCACAGCTACATAATATTTGTTGTTGGCATGAGGAATTCATTAGAAAGTAAATATTAATGTTTCATGTAAACAAAATTTATCTGTAAAGTGTAATTCCATTCTGAAGAATTGCTGTGTAAAACTGAAACTATCTTCTTATTTTATTAAACACTGAAAGTGTACTCTGCAAAAACCTGTGTAGACAAGGCCTCAGAGAATTCCCAGCAGCACCCAGTGTTAAGAGGCACTACCTATTTTTCTGAATTGCTTGGTTTCCTCTAATATTGGGAATGTTTTCCTGAATCCAAGACATATGAGACATATAGCAGAACACTTCCTTTAAGTGTTTAAAACAGTTTCTTAGAAACATTCACCTTTTAATAATAATAAAAATAAATTAAAAAGAATATAAATTGCTCTGAAAGATAGTTTCTCTTATTATTAGAAGTCACTTTAACCTTGTAGTTACAAATATTTGTTGCATCATGTTTAAATGGTATTCAGTGTAATTAATCCAAATTTATTAATGTTCTTTTCACAGTTTGCTGTTAAAAACAGATTTCAGCATCGCAGAAAACAGTTTCCCAAAAGAGAACACTGGCTGGACTGGGCTAGTGAAAAGTATGATGTAAGTATCATTTGTGTGTGCATGAGCACGTGTGCATGGATAGATAGATAATGCCTTTCTCCCTTTTTCTTTTTTGTTCCATCTGCCTTGTTCACTAGTTATGCAACCCCATACCAAATACCGGGGAGATAATGCTGTGTCTGTCTATAGTAATCAGAAGCTAGTGTTCTAGTTAGATCTTACTGCTCTGGCAAGATAGGATGGTTACCATCATGGCTTAATGTAGCTTCAGATTGTCCTCCAGGTATCAGGGCTTTGTGCATGATCACATATCACACTGAGGAAACTCTAGTGGGCTGAACATAAATGTATTTCTCTCTAAGAACAAATATTTAAAATTACCTGGTAGCAGTTTCAATATGATAGCAAGTATTCTATCTCCAGTGTAGATTTTATGGCCTTGATATAAACAATCCAGCTTCAAAATACACTTTGAATGAAAACACACAATATATATGATAACACATGCGTACAATGCACATTACACTAATGAGGACTATGGACTCCATGGTCAAGAAATTTGTCAGAGAATCCACTTCTAGCTGCAGAATTGTGCTCCAGAATCTAAGCTTACATTAAAAAAAATATAAGGGAGGCAATATCAATGTGGCCTAGTGAATAGGGTACTGGTCTAGGACTTAGAAGACCTGGGTTCTGTTCCTGGCTCTGCCACTGATTTAGAGGGGAGGGATAGCTCAGTGATTTGCACATTGGCCTGCTAAATCCCGGGTTGTGAGTTCAATCCTTGAGGGGGCCATTTAGGGATCTGGGGCCAAAAAAAAATCTGTCTGGGGATTTGTCCTGCTTTGAGCAGGGGGTTGGACTAGATGACCTCCTGAGGTCTCTTCCAACCCTAATAAAACAAAAAACAACCTCAGTTGGTGAAATTATCATAGGCCCTTCAAAACCGAGGACCTATAACTATTTACACCAGCTGAGGTTCCTAGCCTTCATGCTTGTGAAAATAAGCTTGAAAATATGTAACTAATGCAGTAATGTGTTGCTTTGCACAGGCCCTTTATTATAATATTGCATTCCTTCATTGGTAATCCATACTGAGTTCAAACTCCTTGTCATGGCTTTTAAAGCCATTCAGCTATTCATCCCCAATCTATATGTCTCCTTTTAGGTGGCCTTCCGCACTCCCTGATGATTTTTCAATGGTTACACAAATCTCAACCTCCCTTCTGTCTCCTCTCTGATTCCTGCCTACATGACATCTTCCATGTAGCCCCTGTTCATTGAAAATGCTCCTCAAAACCACCTTATCGTTCAAATCCCTCTTAAAAATTTGTTTCTGAAACATCATCTATCAGAAATGAGATAAAATAACACAAACTAACAAAAACAAAGTCTAGTTCAATGTAACCATCACATATATGTACAGACCTTACTGAGTAACAGTGGACTTTATTTACATAACCCCTCTTGTCCTTTCTCCTCACACACACCTGCACACGTTTTGTCCGTTTTTGTCCATTTGTTAAAAGACAGGGAACAAAGAGTAGGAATAAATGGTAAATTTTCAGAATGGAGAGGGGTAACTAGTGGTGTTCCCCAAGGGTCAGTCCTAGGACCAATCCTATTCAACTTATTCATAAATGATCTAGAGAAAGGGGTAAAAAGTGAGGTGGCAAAGTTTGCAGATGATACTAAACCGCTCAAGATAGTTAAGACCAAAGCAGACTGTGAAGAACTTCAAAAAGATCTCACAAAACTAAGTGATTGGGCAACAAAATGGCAAATGAAATTTAATGTGGATAAATGTAAATTAATGCACATTGGGAAAAATAACCCCAACTATACATACAATATGATGGGGGCTAATTTAGCTGCAACTAATCAGGAAAGAGACCTTGGAGTCATCGTGGATAGTTCTCTGAAGACGTCTGACCCAGTACGGCTATTCTTATGTTCTTATGTTATGTTCTTATCTTCATCTTAATTTAGGCCCCAGTAGTGCAAAGACTTACACATGTGCTTAACTTTAAAGGACTGTAAATAATTCCATTGAAGTCTAAGGCTCTACACACAATCTGTAAAGTTTAGCATGTGTCTAAGTCTTGCATGATCAGGACCTTTGTTTCTAATGTGAATTAAAATATATGAATAGCAATAGTATGAATAAAATATGAATAATAGTAATAGTCTTAGTATATATATACACACACATATATATATATATGTTTTATATATATAAAAAACTTGTGGTTTTGTTGAATTTACCTATTTTTAGCAACTTTTTTTTTTTTTTTACTGTTCTTCACTATAGAAACGACTTATTACACAAACTAAGATGGTCTTGAGGGTACTTTTCCTGTATATTCCTCTCCCCATGTTCTGGGCACTTTTTGATCAGCAGGTAAGGTAGAAAAAAAGTGTAATTTTTTTGCAAGTACATGTACAATTATATTCAATCATTATATTGTGAAATCAGTGGGCAGAATTTAAATTGGTGATAATGAAAAATGGTACTTATGAATTACACAGTTATTTATATACTGTACCTAGTAAGTTATTTTATTTATCTCTCCTATTATACACTAGCTGCTCTTGTGAAGCTTTAAGTGTATGATCAATTAATATTTCAAACATATATATTACAAAATAATCTAAGTTGACACAATGTCAGCAAAAATATTAAAGATAAAATCCTTATCCTGGTTCCAGCTCTTATATGCTGGGTAAAAAAGACCGGAGCAGCATAAAAGGCCTCTAAAAGCCCCAGTTCTGTTTGGGGGAGGATCCCCCCAGTGCAGACACTGTGGAAGACAGCCATAAAGCTGCCTCCAAAGACCCCATTGCAAGTCCAACATTTTCCTTTAGTAGTTCAGGATCAGACCTTTGTCAAAGATTGGCAGAGGAAAAAGTAATCCTAAGGAAAGTTTTTGTCTTCCTTTATTATTGATTCTCCACCCCCTCTATTCTTCCCTTTCTAAAAAAATTCAGGAGTAACTAGAACAGATTGCTTTATTGTAGCATTTCATTATGACTTTGTTTTATTAAGGGATCAAGATGGACATTACAAGCCACAACAATGGATGGAAACTTTGTAGGTTATTTTAACTTAAAGTTTTAAAGAATTATTGACTTTTCATTTGTTCTTATGCATTTTTTCAGTCTTCTAATGTTAAAATATATTTACCTTTTCTTTTCCTTAGGGAGCTATTCAGATCCAGCCAGACCAGATGCAGGTACACTAAACTACATTTGTGATATTTTTACATACTCCTCAAAGACTTTTTTTTAAATCACTATTTTAAAAAAGACTTTGGAAAGTGCTTAACTTTTTTTTCTGGATATTTACATTCAACAGACCGTGAACCCGATTCTGATTGTTGTTATGGTCCCAATTGTAGACGCTGTGGTTTATCCTTTAATTAAAAAATGCCACTTCAATTTCACGTAAGTTAATTCATATGCCTGATTTAATCTTCAGGTGTATTTTAATGATTTATCTTAAAGTGCTATGTTGATGATATTATGACAGAGCAAGCTTTCACTAAGATAAGGAAATCCAAGGAGTAGAACTATTAATAATGAGTTAATATAAAAAGTATTTTATGTTACTGAAACACTTAGGACTTGGCTACACTTGCGAGTTAGAGCTCATAAAGCAGCCCTGGGTGCCCAACTCCCGACCCGTCCACACTGGCAAGGCACGTAGAGTGCTCTGACTCCTCAGCTAGAGTGCTCCTGGTACCTCACCGCAGTGAGTGGAATAACATTTGCTGCGCCTTGGCTACAATGCCTGGCGTCAGTGTGAACGAGGGGTTGCATTACTGTGCTCTGATTGGCCTCCGGAAATGTCCCATAATCCCCTTAATTCAAGTGGCCACTCTTGTCATTGTTTTTGAATCACTGCAGGAATGCAGATGTGCCCTTTCAAAGCTCCGTTTCAGACAACCGGCATGCTTATCTGCTCTGAGAGAAAGTAACCATTACTGTGGAATGCTGTGTGTGAGAGACAGAGGCGGGGTGGGGAGAAGGGGAGTCTGCTGTGGTCTGAACTTACAAGACCTCATGCTGACATGCTCTCAGCCCCCAAAAACCCACTCTCTCTCCCCCCACATACACACAACACACTCCCTGTCACACTCCACCCCACCCCACTCCCCATTTGAAAAGCACATTGCAGTCACTTGCATGCTGGGATAGCTGCCCATAATGCACCGCTCCAAATGCCGCTGCAAGTGCCACAAATGTGTCCACGCCAGTGCGCTTGAAGCTGTCAGTGTGGACAGACTGCAGCGCTTTCCCTATTGCGCTCTCCTATTGCTGGTTTATCTTAAAGCACTCTACATCTGCAAGTGTAGCCATGCCCTTAGTTGCAATCATATATACAGCTCTAAGAACAAAGAGAAGGCGAACCCAGCTGCAGGGGGCAAACTACAGTGTGGAGATGAAATCCTGCCCCCTTGAAGTCAATGCCATAAATCCAATTGACTTCAAGAGAACCAGGATTTCACCGTTGGTTTCTTCCTTCCTTCATTCTTTCTTTCTGTTTTGTATTATAAAAAATAGACACATAGTTACTCCTATCTTGTGGGAGTACCTTTTTGCCTCAGAATGGGAGAAGCCAGATATACTTTCTGGTAGATCTTAGACTTCACTTTATGTTGTGAGTAGAGCTGGCCAGAAATTTTTCGATTAATCACTTTTTGTCAAAAAATGCCAATTCAGTGAAAACTAAACTGTTAGCAAAGTAGGGTCAGGTTCAACAAATTTCCTGACTCAAGTAAATCTTAAGAAAAAAAGTTTGGAAATAGTGTGTCAAAGTTAAAAATTTCATTTTTATGGTTCAAAATGACTACTTCTTTCAAAATTTAAACTATTTAGACTGAAAAAAATGTTGCAAAGAAGGGCAAAATCAAAACAAAAATGATCAAAACAGAATATTTTGATTGACCCAAAATGGTAAAAATTTGGGTTTTTTTGGTTCACCAGGATTTTTGAGATTTTAACTTTTTGCCCAGAATCAAGACAGGAAAATTTTTTGAACTCTCAAAAATATTAATGGAACATGAAAACCATTTCCTCACCAGCTCTAGTTGAGAGTGTTGCTATGTATACCTTCATGTAGCACCATCTGTTACTAGCAATATAGCATGGATAGGAATGCAGTTTGGAAAGAAGGAAAAGGTTCATTGGCTGAAACAACTAAGGGAAAAGGGTACTTTTTTCCACTGAGTTAACTCAATCAAGTTGGCTTAATAGGGTTTTCAAGTGTGTTAAGTTAGCTTGATTTGAGTTAACTCAATTGAAAAAAGAGCTTTTCCCTAAATTTAGATAATTCTATACACTATAAAATGGGTCTCCCATTTTTAGGAGTCATTCTAGGTTAAGACTCAGTGGCAGGAAGACATAAAATTAGGCTAGAATTCATCCAGATGCTCTCTCATAACTGAGTCTTAGGAAGGGGTGATTCATTATAAAGAAGCTACGTGAATTTTGTAACTGGAATTTTTTAATTATTTTTTTAATTAATTTATTTTACAGGGTTTCAAATTAAAGTTCCCTGTTTTGGGTATTTACAGTATATTCCTGAGTTTTTTTCCTCTGATTCTCGTGCTTTCCTCATTGATTTTATATAAGTCTGGAACCCACGTTTCTAGTACTACAACTGTAGTGTGCCCAACAAACAGTCACAACTGATGTATGGGCATTATTGATAAATTTAGTATCAAATAAAGAAATGGTAAGAGAAATTTAAAAATCAAATTTCCTGACTGTACTGTTCTTTTCTGACCCATTTATTACATTTAGCTTTTATCCATTTATGAAAATTGTTGTGGGAATGTGAACTTCCCCTATTACAAACTTGCTGGCCCTCCCATCCTCTTCCCACTAAGATTTTGATTACATCAGAGAGGTAGAACCTTTTATATTCTTTCCTGGGAATGAAAATTGTACTTGGCTCCTTCATACATGGGCCCTCCACAGCCATTATTTGATGCCATAAATAGATAGTTTGCCCTAGACCAGGGATTGGCAACCTTTGGCAGGTTCGTCTGATCACAGCTCCCATTGGCCGTGGTTCGCCGTTCCGGGACAATGGGGACGTCGGGAAGCAGCGGCCAGCACATCCCTCAGCCTGCGCCGCTTCACGCGTGCCAAAGATTGCCGATCCCTGCCCTAGACTGACTTTTATTGCCATGGTACTAAATTTAATAATTTCTTAAAATGTCATTAGACCTAAAAACCATATCTCTCTGAATTTTTTTTAGTTCAGTACTTTCCAGATTTGAACATAGTAGTATATGCATAATAAGTAATCTCCCTTTTGTACAGGCCATAACTATGCACTTCTGTAGCTCTTTTTATTCTTTGCAGCCTTAAATGGGTTAAGTTCCCTTTCTGAGTAAATCAGACTTTTTAGGTCAACTGTGCAAACCTAATAATTGTTCAGATGATGGCTAATCATAGAAATGAGCCATATAGATCTTGAGCAACAGATTATTAAATGGACTAGAGATGTAATTTCAAGGAGTCTAGATTTCCCTAAATGGTAACTGGGAACTAACACTGAGATATGTAAGGCTTAAAAGGGTATTTTCTGTAACCATATCAGTACTCACAGGGTAATAATATACTATCGATAGTCATCTTAATGTTCTCCATAATGAAATGGAAACTCACAGCTGAATTTTTGGATTAATACTACTCCTAACATTCATGTTTTTTGTTGCTATACTAGGCCCCTGAGGAAGATTACAGTTGGTATGTTTCTTGCATCTCTGGCTTTTGTTGCTGCTGCACTGGTACAAGTGCAAATCGATGTAAGTTAAGCCGAACACAACCAAATGATGATATTGCTATTTAGCTTTTTAATTACTATACAGATTTTGGTGAGAGTGCAAGTGGTCCAAACCATGGCAATTAATCATTTCTTTCTATACGAATTAACCAAGAATGTTTTTATTAAAAAAAGAGGGAAGGGAACGTATTGGTATATATGTGTCATGGAATGTAATGTGATCTATGATAAAATTAATAAGCTAGAAGAATTCCTCAGCAGCGTATTCTTATCTGTTTTTGTTATGGGTTTTTAATTTTAATTGAAGTTCAAAGTTTAAAACCAGAAGACTTAGTTTTTTGGTTTGTTGAGGAATTCATTTGCATATCTGACCTTTTTGATTTGTTTTGAGTGGAGGGTAAGTGTGACACAACCCCAGCGCTATGTAATGTCACAAATTAAGAGTGAAATGCTGTTGATTTACTGTGTGAATCCATTGGAATACAATGAGTTTTACTTTCAACACTGCTTGTTAAAGATAAGATTAAAGGGCTAGATCTTCAGCTGGTATAAATAGTGTAGTTCCATCTTGCTTTATGTCCTGTTTTGAGAGGAGGGGGGACTTAAATAGCCCTATGCTGGCTTCGTGCCCAGGGATGAACTTTGCCCAAAATGATTAGCTACCTATAGAAATTTTAAAAAAGACCAGAGAGCATTTTTGTATAGTGATATATGCGGACAATGGAAAAGAGATAACATTAAAAGCTAGGTAGGGTAGTACTTGTGGGAAAGAAATGAAAATGCATATGGCTCTACCAAATCTCAGTGCACACAGGTACAAAGGCCATTTTATCCACTAATATGGTGGCATCTTCTTGTCAGAATGGGTTGGAAGTGAAAATGAAGCCTGGTTTCTCTCTTTGGCCTGATACCTTCCTGCTAAAGGGTCCCACTTATGGCTACACCCTGGTTAGTCATCACCTGTTGTAAATGGGACAGAAGATAGGATGAAAGGGAATTCAGAAATATGGCCTGTTGTAGACTGTGAGAAAGCCTTGGAGCCCCTGATGCCTGTACCCTGAGTCCTGAAGGGTCCTGATGTTGACAGCAAACCACAGAAGAAAAATGGATAATAGGTGTATGGGGTTGTGGAAGTCTTGCTGAGAAAAAAGGAGTTCCTTTTCTTAGGCTTTCTAGTATAGAGGGTGAGGAAGCATACGGAAACATGTTGTCACCATATGTGTTAATCACAGGTGTTGTGCAAACGTCAATTTTCTTCATAAGTACTAAAGTCATTGTGATTATATTATATATTATATTATATTTATTACTTACTGTTTAATTTATTTCACTCTTTTTCACCAAGAAAACTCTTCCAAACTTCCCGAAAGAAGGGCAATCCCAAATCAAAGTAATAAATTTAGGCACTGATGTTGCAAAAGTTGACATTGGCCCTGGAGTTGAAAATATGTCTGTGGAATCTCTGATGGCGGTAAGAAAGAGTAATGATTAGAGTTGGTAAAAAAAAATAAAACTTATTTTCTCAATTTTTCACAAGTTTTTTTTTAAATGTTTTGTTTACTGAAAATCTGCATTTTAGTAAATGAAAAAAAATTGATAACCATTTCAACGATGTTTTTAAAAACTTTTTAATAAAAATGTTGGAGAAAAAAGTCACTAATCATTTTGTAAAAAAACAGCTTTCTTACCCAGTAGCTACACCTTCCTAGTGTGACAACAAACCATTGATAACTACTCTTGAGTGTGGTCTTTATAGCAGTTTTGAAGCCACCTTATAGTAATTTCATCTAAACCACATTTCTAGGGTGACCAGATGTCCCGATTTTATAGGGACAGTCCCGATTTTGGGGTCTTTTTCTTATATAGGCTCCTATTACCCCCCATCCCCTGTCCCGATTTTTCACACTTGCTGTCTGGTCACCCTACACATTTCCCTAGTTTACTTATGAGAATATCATGTGGGACTACGTCAGAATCCTTACTGAAATTAAGATATATCACATCTGCTGCTTCTCACCTATCCACTAGGCCAGTAAACCTGTCAAATAAAGACATTAGGTTGGTTTGACATGATTTGGTCTTGACAAATCTATATTGGCTATTACTTATTACCCTATTATCCTCTAGTTGGTTACAAAGTTGATTTTTAATAATTTGTCTCAGTATTTTTCCAAGTATCAAAGTTAGGCTGACTGGTCTATAATTTCTTGTGTTTTCTTTGTTCCCCTTAAAGGCCGCCCATGTGGGGGCAGGCAAAAGAACCAGTTTGCCCTAAGCCCCCTCTTGGAGAGGGGCCTCCCCAAACCAAGTGGTTTTGCAACCTGGTGCACATGGTCACAGTACCACTCAGTTTATGCCCAGCCACCCCTCCCTCATGACAGAGGGTCAGCTGGGCCAAACTTGAGTGGTACTGCAGTGCCATGCTTCAGATTGCAATGCCTGGTGCAGGGAGCTGAGCCCATCCCCACGGGACAGGAGCTGCTGCTGCTGCAGGGTGAATGCAGGACAGGCTTGCTCTCCAACTCCCCCTCACACACTGGCCTCCCTTCAGTGTTTTTGCACCCTTGGTTTAATGATTTCTGTGGCTGCAAATTTTTTGGAAGGGTGGGGGCCTCAGTTTCAGATTTTGCCCTGGTCCCCTTTTTAATGATAGGTATTATATTTTCCCTTCTCCGGTCCTCTGGGACCTCACCCATCATCCTCCATGAGTTCTCCAAGGTACTAGCTAATGGTTCTGAGATTACTTTAGCTAGTTCCTTAAGTACCTTAGGTTGAATTTCATCAGGCCCTGGTGACTTGAATATGTCTAACTTATCTAAATATTTTTAACCTATTCTTTCCCTATTTTGGCTTGTATTCCCTCCCTAGTGGTAATATTAATTGTGTTAAATATCTGGTCACCATTAACCTTTTTAGTGAAGACTGAAGCAAAATAGATACTGAACACCTCAGCCTTTTGATGTCATCTGCTATTAGCTCTGCTTTCCTGCTAAACAGAGGACCAAAAAAGTTTATTAGCATGAGAAGCTGGTGAGAGTTATCAGAATTTAGTTTATGTTTTCAGGCCATCTTGCTCTTCTTGTCATCAAACAGTTTATTTCTTTCCTGCAGCAAGGGGAACTCACTCCACATCCATAACTTAGGTCAATTTTTCACTTCTATAGAAGTGATATCTATGAAATAATGATTCTGGAGGGACTGGGTGATTTTAAGGTTTAGCAGTGGGATGGAGAGTCTTCCACCTGTAGCGTATCAGTTCAAATCCAGTTCAGGATAAGTCTGTGGTGAATAAAAGTTATTACCATCTGATGGCTAGTAGTTGGTCTTTGTGAAATTAGTTTGTCCTCTCAGTCCAGTTCTAGCTGACAAATATCCATATGCATTACTATTATTAATTTCTATTACAGTAGCAGCGTGCGACTTCAACTGAAGTCAGGGCACATTGTACTTTACATACTCATAGTTAGGGCCCTATCAAATTCACATCCATGAAAAACACATCACAGACTCTGAAATTTGGTCTCCCTTGTGAAATCTGGCTATTGTAGGGGAGACCAGATTTCACAGAGTTGGGCAGCCGGAGAGCGGTGGCTGCTGGCTGGGAGCCCAGCTCTGAAGGAAGCAGCGATGCCAGCAGCAGTGCAGAAGTGAGGTGGCATGGTATGGGTGGGTCGTCACTTTAGAAGGGGGGGGGCAGGGCTGGCCTTACAGGTGGGCAAGTGGGATACTGTGCAGGGCCCCATGGTCAGGGGGGTGCCGTGGTCAAACCCTCCCCCTCCCTACACACACACACAACCTGCACAAGGATCCTTTAATTCCCAAACGCTGGGCTCCTGCTGCTAGTCCTGGAGGGGCTAGGGAAGAACAGGACTTCCTCTTCCTCTGCATGGGCCACTCCCAAGGTTGGGTCAGATTAATCTCTGGGAACCTTCCCTGAATGCAGGAAACTCCATGGTTGCTGGCTGGGAATCCAACTCTGAAAGGAGCGCTGCTGCCAGCAGCAGCGCAGAAGTGCGTGTCACATGGTATGGTATTGCCATCCGTCCTTCAGCTCTGCTGCTGGAGATGGTGCTGCCTTCAGGAGCTGGGTGCCTGGCCTGCAGCTGCCTTCTGGCTTCCCAGCTCTGAAGGCAGCAGCACAATATCCCCCACAGCAACCCCCCAGTATTGGAATTCACATAATTGGTTCATTTCTTCCTTCACCCAGACTTCAGAGTACCAAGAATTTCATTCACAGCAGTATGTGGAAATGCTGATAATTTTCCTTCTATTTCTAAGTAAATTTGTTGCTCCCACCAGATGTTAAATTGATACAGAGGAGTGAAGTCCTCTGTTTAACCATGGTACAGGTACAGCACCAACAGAGACAGTGCAGGATTTTCCACATGGCAGTGCCAATGTGCCTCAACCTTGTTCTGGAGGAAGCATTCAACGATAGTGCAGCCTCCATCCCATACAGTCTTTGGATTGTCTGCTGAGCCTTTCAACAAGGATGTTAACCAGTACCAGTTCTTATGGAGGTTTAGCAATGCAGAGATACTTCCTTTTCCTCACTCTATGAGTAGGGCCCTACCAAATTCACAGTCCATTTTGGTCAATTACATTGTCAACGGATTTAAAAAATCATAAATTTAATGGTTTCAGATATTTAAATCTGAAATTTCATGGTATTGTAATCGTGGGGGTCTCAACCCAAAATGGGATTGTGTGGGGGTGGAAAGGTCTGTGTGAAGAAAGAAATGAACCAAAACCATTTATGGACAAAATGATTACAGTGGTTTTAGATGCAGAAAAGCGAACAAAAATCTTCAGTGAGATTTATGAGACATGTATGAAGTACCAGAGACCATGTGCAACATACCTAATAAATTTCAGAACTCTTGAGTCAGCAGGATTCTGATAAATGCATAGATAGAGTCACAGTTATGTGAATATACATAGCAAATGTTCTTTCTTTTTTTTTTATATAGACAAACTATCTGACATTTGACACTACTAGCTTAACAGGAATGAATATAGCCTACGGAAATCAAACCTTAAATCAGTCTCTTAATTTTCTGGGAAAAGAACGTCATACTCTTATACTAAAAAATACAGGTGGCATCCAAACTGAATTGGTAAGCTTGTTTAATTCCTAGTTAGTATACCCTTCCAATCTTCTTAAATGGAGAGTTTTAATCTCAAGTGAAGTTTAATGTAATTTAATATATAGTTTAAACATTTCTGGATAAACATAAATAATTTTAAATGGATGGTCTTAGTTTCATGCTTCACAACAATCACATGTATTAACAAAACTCTAAAGATGAGACTTGGGGGCAGGTCCACAAAAGGGACTTAGTGCTATTGCAGCACAGCTATGATGCTGTAACTCCGGTGCTTCCTACCGTGTTGGCATGGGCTTTTCCATTGATGTAGATAAGCTACCTCCTTGAGCAGTGGTAGCGAGGTTGATAGAAACATTCTTCTGTTGACTTGCTCACATCTACCCCAGGGATTAGATCAGCATAGCTACGGCATGCTGGGATGTGAATTTTTCACAATCCTGAATGATATAGCTATGTTGATCTAAATTTTCAGTGTTGACCAGGCCTCCATGATACAGCACCTAGCATTGAGGTGTCCTGTCACCTCGTGGAATCCACAGCTCCGAGTTAAGCAAC